AAAAAAAAAAAAAGAATCTATTTCAAATTTCACTCTAGACTTACAATTAAACTCTCAAATTTAAAATAGTCTCAAATTATCATTCGAAATTCAAAAACGGATACACCACCCTTAAGTCTAAGGGTGAGATTTTTAATGAGATTTCATATAAAGTTTTTTCTTTTCAAATCTTATGAAATCTTAAAGTCTTAGCAAATTACAGTGTCAAATAATTTAGATACCTCAAAATTTTGTAAGACTTTTTAAATCTCAAATGAATACGCCAAGACTTTTAAAAGTCTTAAAAAGTGTAAATTAAGGGGGGTGTATTCGTTTCGGAATTCGAGTGACATTTAAAGACTTTTTAAGATTTAAGATTTTTGAGGATTTTCAGATTTTAAAAGAATCCTATAAAATACCAAGTCTAAAGGTGGGATTTGTAGTGGGATTTCCTACATGTTTTTTTTCTTTAGAAATCCCAGCAAATCTTAAAAAGTCCTTATAAATCCCAACCTTAAATTAGTTAAATACACCTGGATTTCGTAAGACTTTTTAAAATCCTAATTGAATACCTCAAGACTTTTAAAAGTCTTGAGAAATCTAAATTAAATACACCAGGATTTCTAAAGTCCTAAAAAGTTTTTAAAAGTCTTTATAAATCCCAATTAAATACACCCCCCTAAATATACCAGGATTTCTAAAGTCTTAAAATGTCTTTAGAATTCCAAATTAATACACCCCATAAATTTTTACTTTGTACTGTATATTCAGTATGAATGTGCATTATTTGTAATCATAGAAAGATGACGAATTATTTCTATAACGTATCAAAGTTTGTTTGTTTTTTGTTTTTTTTTTTCTTTTCTTTTTTGAAATGATAGATTGTACTCCTTAAAAAGGAGATTATAAGATAAAACCTAGAGGCTAAATAGTCAATTAGAACCACCATACTGTGGAATCTAGGAGGAGCACTAACAGTAGTGTCCTAAACTAAAAATTAAGGAAGAGGAATCCAAATTTTCAGCACCGACGAGAGCTTTGAGATGGGAAGTTGGACGACAAATCCCCACACACCCAAAGAAACTAAAAAGCTCCAACAAAATGGAAAATTTGTACTCTAACAAGTGGAGAATCGAAGACTAACTAAACCAAACACACACTTGCCTAGCTAAGAAAAGATACTACCTCCCTTAAACCACACGAGAGACCTGCAGCGGACATAAAACCAGCACTCAAATCAAACCTCGCAATAAAAAAAAATGACACAATCAAAACTCAAGGAGAAACATAAACGATCCTAGAACTAAAAACTTTAACTAAAACCAGGGACTAGAAAGAACTGAAGTCCGGATTGGATCTCCCAAAATCGTCAATTGATGGAGGGAAAGGCCCAAAAGGTCTGGCTTGAACAACGACAATAAAACACAAACCCAAGCATTCAGAGGAAGAACCATGTCGCTCACGATTTGACAGGAGCCGCACCTGGGAAAAAGACCGCATGTTAAGGGTGAGAACAATGCTTTCTTCCACGACCGAAGCTGGACCAGAGGGCAGCGGACTAGGGACCGCGGATGCTGACTGGAACAGTGTTTCGAAAAAGAATAAACATCGTATCAAAGTTGGATGAATAACAAGTAGATTATGGTTAGCTACAAACGTTAGCATATTATTTGAAACTCTTAGAATTGAATTTATTCAATACTTTCAAATACTAGGGTATCCAAGCAAAATCAAAATCTTTTGAACTTTAATTATTGTGCACCTATCGCATAACTAAAATGTCCTTTTACTACATGCAAACAAGATATCTTCCCATTGACTTATTTTTTTATTAGTAAAATATATGCGAAATTCTATTTCGATCATCAGTTGTAATACTGCCAATTAAGTTTAAACCAACTACATGAAACAAAATCTGAAATTTCATTCATGGAGAGCCATTCATTTATCGCTTTCCCACACTCCCACTCTATAAATAACTTGAATTTCATTCTATTTTGAGCGTCCACATGTATAGCAACATTCAGATTAAGGAAAATTTTTTCCTCCAATTCACTCTATATTTCGAAATAACTATTTTTTTTTTCTTTTGAAATACAGAAGAAAAAGATGTTGCTAAAGATTGAGAAATGCGAAAGTGTAGTTTTGGCTATTGGCTTAATTATCATAGTAATCAACATGTATCATGTTGATGGGCAGCCACATAGGATTCTTTTCGATACAGATGTTGATGTTGATGATGTGCTTGCAATATTGTACATCTTGAAGCTTGATAGATCCATATTTGATTTGCGAGTAAGCACACTCATTATATATACAAAAAATAAAATCATAATTAATGTGCATTATTTTTTCTTGTTTATTTTTTGTTTCTACCCAGCTAACTATGATTTTATGAGCTTATAAGTAAATGGAGCAAGTATTCTGTTATTATATTTTTTTCAATTTTTTTCATTACTTACAAAATAAAATTATCTCAATTTATAGTAATTTCACGCACTAAGTTCGGATAATAATATTAATATATTATTAAAAAAACATGATAACAAAATAATATAAATAGTACGTGAGAAATAAATAAAAACTAACAATATCAATACTGACATAAGGACTATTGGGTCATGGATTTTTTTTTTTTTTGGTTATAAGGGAATCAGTCTACAAAATTGATATTAGTATTTAAAATTATTTTTATAATAGTTGGCTTTACAGTAGAGTCAAACAATATTGACTCAATACTAGAGTCAACTCGGCTAGGATTAGTTGTTGATATGACGTGAAATAATTCGATGTAACATTTATATCTTCAAATTATTTTGCAACACATTGAAATAAAACCTAATTAATTAAAATATAATTTTTTTTCTTTCCACTTCAACATTCAGAATAATCCATATCTCATCAATAATCGTACATCTTCGCTACTAATTCATGGACCATTATAATTATATTATTTTTCATATACAGGCAATTACTATAAATACAAATTCATGGACCAATGCGGGTCACGCTGTAAATCAAGTTTATGACCTTCTTTACATGATGGGACGAGATGATATTCGTGTTGGGGTCGGAGGTGATGGTGGAATATTTGATAATAGTACTATTTCGTCGAATGTCGGTGGATATCTTCCCATAATTGATCAGGTTTTTTTTTTTT